TTGCCTTTCTATCAGCTCGAACCAGTCTGGCCATTCACCTCTGACCTCTGGCATCAACAAGACATTTTCACCCACAGTACTGCCGCTCACGGATAATTTCTCTTTTTTGGACCATTCTCTGTAAACCCTAGAGATGGTTGTGTGTGAAAATCTCAGTAGATCAGAAGTTTCTGAAATACTCAGACCAGCCTGTCTGGCACCAAAAACCATGCTACGTTCAAAGTCACTTAAATCACCTTTCTTCCTCATTCTGATGCTCGGTTTGAACTGTAGCAGATCGTCTTGACCATGTCTACTTCCTAAATGCATTGAGTTGCTGTTGGATAGGTGTACCGATAAAGTGGCCGGTGAGTGTATGTGTTCAGTATATTTGATTTACATCTGTTTGCTGCTGATGCGAGGGAGCAGGACCCACTGTGACTCTCTGATGTGGAGAACACTCAAACAGAGCAGTCCACAGTTCAGCCACAGGTCAGAGGCTCCTCTCCTTAAAGAACTGTTGTCTCCATATCTGCTCATGGTGTATAGATGAGTATTGTTGTGTCGCCAAGCCCGCACACTTCACAGCTGTGGTCTGGAGCAGCTTTTGATGCACGCAGCAAATTCACTATTGATAAAACATGTCCTTGAGAGAAAACTGTGACCTGGACAAGAAGAGCGCTCCAAAGATATAAACCGGGACAGAGCAGACGCACGCAGGGGACGGGCGTCAAACTGTTTCCTCAACCACATTTATGGACATTGGTCATCTGCCCCTAATGGACCAATGGCTCTATGTGTTTTTATCATTGCATTGCCTGTGTTTGAACTGTTTGATTCTCTGATTTGTGTTGGGGAATCGACAGTTTTGTAAAGTACTCTAAGATAACTACTGTTGTGATTTAGGGCAATACAAACGTAAATTGAATTAAACGTTGGTCAGGATTACCAGAACTGAAGGAATGCACGTATTTTTAGTGGAGCACCCATGGGGAGAACATGCAAACTCCACTCATAAATCTTAATCTGACTGGGATTCGAACCCAGAATCTTCTTTCTGCATGAGTGGTAAAAAGATCACTATTTGTGGCACCATGGACTGCACAAAGGGAAGGAGAAAAAATATAGTTTAGTCCTTAATTGCCTACTTTAAACCTAGATGCAATTTGATTTGATCGAAATTTTAAGTCGACAACTACATGTATTTATTTTTTTATTCAAAAACTCATTAAGATAAAATAAGAAAATCTGTTTTGCGAGACTGTCCTGGTATTATTGTGGTAGTGTGCGTTGTAGTGTTACTATGGTTGCATTTGCATTCCATTCGAACAGATGAATGGTGCTTTTATTTGTGTGCAAATGTTGTAATTAAAAAACAAGATTGAGCCAAAAGCAACTACTTCAATGGCCACCTAATTGGGCCTCATTCTGCTCTCTGATTGGTTAATCTGCTGGTGGATCACATAATACAGACAAAAGACTAACTGGTTTTTTCGGGGAAGAGCCACCAATAATCTGTATAATTTTGAACCTTCAGTATTCATATTCAACCACTCCTGCTGTCAACTATTTGTCGCAGATAAAATGACCACACCAGGAATCTCCAGCCTGTTTCACCTGGAGAGCTACTTTCACAGGACTAAGATGGCAGAGAGCTACTGCGTTATGCATCCGTGAGGAAATTATGTAAAGATGGGCCTTAGATGAGTACTGTCACAATCTACTGTCATTATTAATCATTAATTACACAGTTAGTATCGTCTACAGCAGTGCTGGCAATGTGAATCAAATATTTTTGATTATTCTGTATAATAATGTGAAGAGTGAAACGTTTGGGGAGCAACTGGTAGCTCCCGAGCGACAGGTTGGAGACCCCTGGAGAGTCACTTTGCTGCACTGCTAAATGTCTAATGTGTGAACTTAGTGCTCTTATATGTGGTAGAAATGTTAAGATTTTTTTATGAATTTTTGTATGCAAACTTTATATCTATTTTAACTTATTCCAAGAAGTTCAAGATTCAAGAATGTCTTTGCCATTCGCACTAATGGCAATTGCAAGTGCAAGACTACCCTGTGCACGAGCATAGCTCTATAATAATATCTGGATAGTGTATTACTAGCTTGCAGCTGTCCCACCTATGGGCACAGGGAGCGCCCGTGGCACTGCAGACTAAATTCATGTGGGCTACCCAGAAAAAAGTCCCATAGAACCATAGACTGTATATAATAACGGACAGAGTCACGCCTATCTCCGCCTTTCATAGGAGTTGGCCATGAAAAGTGCTGTCATGGAGCAATCCAAGATGGCCGCGAGTAGTCCCGCCCACAAGAAAATTGTGGAAAAACGCATCTGCGCATGCGTCAGCTAGCGCAGCTCCATTCATTTGAACGAGAGACTTAAAAAATTCCCCGCGAGTAAACTAGAGTGGACCAAAACAAATCACCCCCCTCAGCATTGACACACATGTGGAACGGAGCTTTGGGCCAAGAGCCAACTTTTGGTCCATCCTGTAAAGACGTTTTTGAGAGGTCCGCTAACGCTATATGTTAGCATTGGCTAATTCTTCTTCTGGGTCCACCCCCATCGGCGCCCGGGGTGGTATTGCAGCATGTCAGCGCACGTCATTTTGGCCACTTTTGAGCTGGGACCCGCCCCCACTGCATAGAACTCAATGTAATCTAAAACAGCTCAACCTGAGCTGACAGAGAACCTACAGCTTTCAGAAAGGTCAGATTTTGTAGGGATTTTAGTGTCCCTTGTCATCCTGAACTTTTTTCTTTTTATATCCTTTAGTTTTCTATAATTCTACACTTAAATGCAACAAACTTTGCTTGTTTTTCCCGCTTTGGCTCTGTCTAACGCCGCTCTGATCAGCAGCTCTGATTGGTTCGAGCGTGGCCGAGCCCCTCTGTCCCCGTGCATACTGTAAAAGCCACACACACGTATTTGGCGCAACACATCATGGGAGCTCGTCCACTGCGCAGAACCGGGAGCACCAGACGCATGTCCCATGCACTACTGAGCACAAGCCATTCATTCATTTCCTTGTTTTGGACTTCCTGTTAAGCCTGGTTCACACGAGACGATTTTAAAATTGTCGGCCGTTTTTTTCTCCGTGTGAGACCTCACACATGGAGATAAAAAATCATGGGTCTAACCACTTTGGTCGTACAGTGTGTGGTGTACAACCACTGTACGAGCATTCCCAGATCAGACAGAAATCTCACAAAATTTCTCGAGATCAAGCGTGACTTCAAAGTAAACAATTATGGCGGACGAAGAGGATGCAGTGGCGATAGTTTGTTTTTAGCAGAGAAAAGACGTAATCAAAAGAAAAGGCGATGGTCAAAGAAGTGTAGACAACGTGAGCATGGACTATACTTGCTACATCGTGATATGGAGGAGAGTTGTTTTTTTACGGTGTTTCCTCGCCGCCTCGTCTCGTCTTCTGATTGGCTACACGCCGCAGTCATGGCAACGCGCTCGTCTGTCCTCGGGGGACACCACACACGAAGAGAAATCGGGCCAAAACAATCCAACATGTTGGATATCCCCGATATTGAGATCGGAGCAGTCCCGAAGTCCTTCAGAGCGACGAGCACAGTCTTAACACACCACACACGGCAGGACAATCCATCTGAGTTTTTGTTACGATATTCGGAGCGTTTTGATGAAAAGTGACCAGGTTGTATTAAGTAAACAGTGTGTTGCTATGGTAACTAGCACTTGCTCTGTTCTGGTGGACATTTCGCCTTGGAGAAACTACTTACATTTCAATGACAATAAAAATGAGTCTGATGTGGGCAGCACTAGTGACCTGTGCTGATGCAGGTGAAAGCAGAAAGAAGGATAGATGATCTAGTGTAGAATGTCTCTGTGAGGATGTGAGTGAGCCTTGTGAACTTTTAGAGCCGACACCTCCCGTCACTGTCCCGCTGTGAAGAGCCTTCTGCTGTCCCGTACCGACACCAGCACTTCGGTCAGACTGCATGAATGACTCTTCACACTTTAAATGTCCTTCATTCTTTATAGACGCAAATGCCTCTGCCTTTAGCTCAAATACACCTCTGCGTGTTCCTCTGGCCTCTAGCACACGTGTAGAACCATGACCTCTGACCCATGTTTAACGTTGTGTCGACCCAGGGCAACAGTGGGAAAGGTTGGGGAGTTGTTTTGACCTGTGTTAATTTCACCACATGAAAGGCAAGCACTTAAAATCCAAATAAATACATTAATTAACACTAGGACTCCCAGAATTCTGAACTCCCAGAGCCGTCATTTTGACTGCTCCCATTAAAACTAATAGAATTATGAGATTTTTTATTTTACTCCCTTTTAATAAGTGCTAAAACTGGTGATTATAACTGCAACTGACATAAACCACAACTCACATTTCAAAAGTAAAGGATAATTTCATAAAACATTAATGACATAGAAATGATACAGAAAAAATGCAGGGAATACCAAGAAAGCACATGAGATGAGTAATTACACTTCCAAAACTAAAAGCCGTCAAATTGACTGATTTTCAGTACTGTGTCCAACGCTTCACAGCAGCAGTGTTTTGATCAGTCCATTTAACAATAGGACTCCCAGAGTTCTGAAACTAAGAGAAATCCCAGAGTTGTCATTTTGACTGCTCCCATTCAAACCAATATAATTCAACTATAACCAATTATGGGTTTAATAATTTCAAAAACATTTTGATGGAAAGTGACACAGTTCAAGCAAGTAAACGGTGTGTTGCTATTGAAACCAGCACTTGCTCTGTTCTGGTGGAAAACCAACATTTCACCTTGAAGAAACTATTAACATCGCACCTGTCCTCGTTCTACAAACTGAGTCCTGCGCCGCACAAAAACAAAGACAGAGAAATAAACGACATGTATATACAGGAAGTTATGACTACAAATGTACATACGTATATGTACTTACATCATTTGTAAGTAGGCTTTCAAAACTAAAAGCTGCTAAATTGACTGCTCTGAGAATTCTGGTTTTACCCTGGACTAGTACTCACGTTGATGTGGTGTGCGGCCGCCCCCTGCATGGCGGGGTCAGGCAGGGTCCCGGGCAGCGAGGCCGGCAGCGGCTGTCTGTGCTTGCTGCGCATGTGCATCAGGGAGGACAGCGGGCTGGGCACAGGACTGCAACACATCAGGCAAGCTATCACAAACAACACTTATGCCACGAGAAAGATAGGAAATGACTATTCAGCATTCATAAGTATTTTCCATTTTGACTGACATGACAGACGCAAATGGTACAAAACAGCAGAGAAAGTAACTGATACATGTCCAAAAGCATTTGTAATTTGAGAAACTGCTACAATGATGTGCACAAACAACTCAATGTTGTGGAGGTTGAACTAATGGTTGTGACAACTTTCATTATGATCCAAGACATTTGTATCTAGATAAAAAAAAAAAAATCTAGATACAAATAAACTTGCCTTGCCTAATGCGTGCGCACGTGTCATTTCCTGTATGCCCTTATGGAGGATGTTCAATCTCAATTCACTTTTAACAGTGTAGTTTCTATAGTGTGATTTAGTCTAGTTGTTTAAGCCTTAAACAGTCAGGCCTTTGAGCCTGAAGGTTGTGGGTTCGAGCCCACCACAAGACCTTCTCCACCAAATCCCACTGATGTCTGCGGTCAGTGTCTCCTTGGGCAAGACACTCATCACCTGCAGGAGGATCAGTGAGAGGCTGGTGCTCTGTGAATTGGGTGCAGCTCTGACTGACACCCTCCAGACCCAAAAATGGACAAAGGGGAAGAATATGATGATATGCTAACAGCTTCTTTCCACAAGTCTCAACAAAGCACTGTAACTGTTCTTTGATTTCATAGTGAGAACTGTTTCTGTACTTTTTCAGTTTGTTTTTATTCAGTTGGCCGACTTGCGTCACTTCCACTAATACTTCGTCCTCAGTGGTGACATCGCCAATGAGCACAGGCCACAGATCTGAATGGGCAGACATCTTGGATCACCAGGGCTTGTATAGAAAGTGTCCTGCAGTAATTATGGCTATACCTGCATGTGAAAGCCAGAGCAGGGCAGGGAGTAGTTAGTACTGTGATGGGAGACCTCTGGGGAATACCAGGTGCCACAATGCCAGGTGCCACAATGCCAAAAAAGCACTATGTACATGTAAAACCGGTGCAATATTATTATTATTATTATTACTATGCTACTTTGCCCCCTTAATTCACTTATTTTATGCAGTCCAGCATTTTGGGTTATCCTTATTTGACAGAGTGACAATAAAGACTCAAACAATAAAGTTTATAGTTTAAAGTTGTATAGAATCAATCTGCTCTAGTGAGTGTGAGGGCGACACACTGTTTCCCATTAATAACAGTTGATGATTATTTAGCGCTGAGCATAAACACTGAGACATTTTAACAAGTGTATTTCTGTCCCTCGTATCACTGCAGGACCTATTTCCAGCGCTCCAGCTCATCACTGTGACTTATGTAAGCCGAGTCTGAGTCTGTGGAAACACGCACAATGTGCTGAGGGCGCTGGATTCCCAACCAACGCACAACAACTTACTGCAAAAAGTGATGAAAAGTACGACAAAAATGGCTGAAGTTTGGAAAAATGTATCTTAATTGGTACACATTCTGACTGCCTTCAAACAAGGTTTTCCAATGGGACAAAGCAAATGTATTGTGTGTCCCTTGGAATGAGAAAAGTTCTTGAAATAAGCTTAAATGGCTTTGTTCCATTGGCAATTCTTGTTTTAAGACAGGCAGAAAGTACTCAGATCAAGATAAAAACCACTCAATTTAAGCAATATTATCTCATACTTTATCATTTTTTGCAGTGTGGTACAAAGAACCTGCCCAATGAGTGTGAGGAACCAATCAGCTCTCACGACAGAACTACTCAGAGCCTCCTCTTTGGTTCTTTGTGGGGACAGTGTGAGGACAGTGTGGGTACAGTGTGGGGACAGTGTGGGGACAGTGTGAGGACAGTGTGGGGATAGTGTGGGGACAGTGTGGGGACAGTGTAAGGACAGTGTGGGGACAGTGTGAGGACAGTGTGGGGACAGTGTGGGGACAGTGTGAGGACAGTGTGGGGACAGTATGGGGACGGTGTTAGGACAGTGTGAGGACAGTGTGGTGACAGAGTGAGGACAGTGTGAGGACCTTGTGGGGACAGTGTTAGGACAGGTGAGGACAGTGTGAGGACAGTGTGGGACTGTGTGAGGACAGTGTTAGGACAGTGTGGGGACAGTGTGAGGACAGTGTGGGGACAGTGTGAGGACAGTGTGGGTACAGTGTGGGGACAGTGTGGGGACAGTGTGAGGACAGTGTGGGGACAGTGTGAGGACAGTGTTAGGACAGTGTGGGGACAGTGTTAAGACAGGTGAGGACAGTGTGAGGACAGTGTGGGGACAGTGTGGGGACAGTGTGAGGACAGTGTGAGGACAGTGTGAGGACAGAGTGAGGACAGTGTGAGGACCTTGTGGGGACAGTGTTAGGACAGGTGAGGACAGTGTGAGGACAGTGTGGGACTGTGTGAGGACAGTGTGGGGACAGTGTTAGGACAGGTGAGGACAGTGTGAGGACAGTGTGGGGACAGTGTGAGGACCTTGTGGGGACAGTGTTAGGACAGGTGAGGACAGTGTGAGGACAGTGTGGGGACAGTGTGGGGACAGTGTGAGGACAGTGTGGGGACAGTGTGAGGACAGTGTTGGGACAGTGTGGGGACAGTGTGGGGACAGTGTGAGGACAGTGTGGGGACAGTGTGGGGACACTCACCCACAGAGCGAGTGGTTCTGGGTGATGACAGAGCCCGGCTGATAGGGGGCCAGGCTGCAGCTGGGGCCCATGAGAGGCCCCTGGGCTGGGGGGTGTTGCAGGGGCCGGCTCTGTGGTGGCTGATGGGAATGACGCGGTGTGTAGAGGTGGGCCGGAGGAGACAGGTGGGACCCCAACTGAGGTTTCGGATGGTTCATACAGGAGCCCCCGTTCTGAGGCTGCATCTGAGGACACAGACAGGACCAGGTTAGAGCTTCTCACTGGTATCAAACAGAGTGAACTACTATAGGCTGCTCTCACAATACAGATCTGGGCCCAATTCGGCACAAACAATGAAATATTGTATAATATTTTGGCCATTGTCAAATTTTTAAATCAGCTGTTTTAGACATAAAAATGAGCACTAACAAACACTGCGACATGATCTCACATGCCGTGTATCTGTGCAATTGTTTGAACTAATGTCAGAAGGTTGAATATAGAAGCACATGTGTCACTGTCACTTTGTCCCATACCCTCATGCTGCACAGATGTAAACATACAACTATACATTTCTGCTCTAGAATATACTGCATTTTACACTTTTTTATTAGGTCAAAGTTAGAGTTTTGATTTTATTTTATTGTAGAGTTATTATTAATTTATCTTGTGCTGTGTGTTCCTCATCACTGAAATTTCCCCACTGGGATGAATAAAGGATCTCTTCATCTTAATCTTAAAATGAAACAGACTGTTCCACTCTCACTCAGCCAAGTATGCAAAGAGTTATAAAATAGTGCTTTATAACTAGATGAAGGCAGCATATGGTCTGATTAGTTCATAAGACTCTTTCTGTTGGGAAGACAACATATTATATATATGTGAGTGTGTGTATGTTAGTGTGTGTGTGTGTGTGTAGGCTGTAGCTGGTCACCTGTTGCTTCTCTTCCTCTTGTGCCTGGAGGAACTCCTCCTCAATCTCCTTGAACAGACCCACCTCGTCACAGTTCTGCAGGAACTTAGTGGGAGTGGGCGTGTCGGCTGGAACACACAAGCACATACATACACACACACGCACACACAAACACGCGCATACATACACACACACGTTAACTGGCCGCAAAAGCTGTTCCACACCGCATATTTCAAATGGACCAAGCGATGAAAAGCATGAAAAATGAAATGAAATCAAAATATGGATGAACAGAGCAACAATTCCCTCCAGTGGCAGAAGAGTAAAATGATACTGATTTTATTAGAGCTCAGTCTCATGTTGCAACACACAGGTGCGACAGAGCCCTAAGTGAATCAGTTTGTCCCAGAAAAGTGTAATCACCGGTGAAGGAAGCGTCACTCTTGATGGAGGGAAATTTGAGGCTCATTTCATGTTTGAGTCTGTGAACGCTGAGGTGCTCCTCCAACTGGAAACTCTGCACACACAACACACACAAAGTTCCAATTGTTTTTCAGCAAATTTTCAAATCAGAAGTCTTTCATAATTCCAGTAATATGAACAAGTGCCACCAAACTAACATAAGTGGATTGATATTGACACACAAGGCGCCTAAGAAATAAAATGTATTATTATTATGAGAGCAACAGAAAAACAGGGGAATTAAGAAGCGTCAAAAGTTCCCAATGTGTGGGACACTTCACACTAAAATCAAAGAAAAAAGCAGTAGTATGCAAACATTCCAGCACCCAAACTTTAGCACAATAAAGAAGCAAATATAAAACACTTTTAAAAATACTGTATATTCTAGTACAAGAAAAATCAGCATCATCATTATTGAGTGGTTTGTAGTTTGATATTGTATGTTTATAATTAAGCCTTAATTAAACTGTGGTGACAGTTTTTGGAGTAATTACATAAAACCAGCCGCAGCAAATACACGGACGTCAAAGGCCTTTTATCAATGCAGAGACGCCCTTCTGACGCCATGCTGAGCTTTGTGAGGGCCCCCTGCTGTCTGTCACACCCTTGTGTCTTTCGTATCTTGAATCTGTATGCCTGCTTATATCCATATGTCCCTGCTGCCAGGAAGGAGCCGGCCCCCCCGACACCTACAGACAATGGCTATCACTCTTGCCCCCTTTCACCTCTTGCATATGTATCGGTCTGTATGTGTGCACTCTCTACATCCTGCACCGGTGGCCCCCCTCCCATCTGTTGTGGGCGGGACTGGCTTTCGTGTGTGTCTTGTATACAGGAAGCTCGGGGCTCTGGCCCCCAGAGCTGGGACATGCTGCCTTGGAGTGGATGTGCTGGCTCTCCGCACGTGCGCTAACAATAAACTTACGCTTTTGATCAGACAAAAGGACCTTTGAGTTTCCTCCTTCATGGGGTATATAATTCTATAACAATTTGGCGTTGCTGACATGTCTTGGCATGGATACTTTCGGCGGGGACGAGCGGCTTTGTTTGGCCGACCTGGATCACCAGCCTCTGTTCCTTTTTGGAGACAAAGGAGGGCGCGCTCGTCCCGCGCACGGAAGGAATCCTTTTGCTACACAAGACCAAAAAGAACCTAATCTGGTGAGTCTTGTCTTTTCATCTGCGTAACGAGCCCAGGGCAGCCCTTAAGTCGACACGGGGATTTGTTTATTTATGTATTTTTGGGGTATTTCATTCATTGCCACAGCATAGTCTGTGTGCGGGATTTTTTGGGGGCTTTTTGTTCTAGATTGAAGCTAGCGGCTGCGCGTTAGTATCGCATTGTAAGCGACCCTGGAATCTCTGAGTGTCTTCAGCCAGAACCGCTCCGTTTTCAAGAACGCGCGCTCGCTGGTTGAACCGCGGGGGGGGAACGGAGCGCCCCAAAGTGGGTAGGAGCAGGGAGAGACTAAGCGGGTTAGGCCCATTGTTCGTACGAGAAAATGGGTAAAATCAATCTACAGATGCAAGCTATGAAGTGCTTGCCTATGGTGCAGGTCATCTGCGTGATAATTTAGAAGAAGAAGGGAAGAAAAAAAAAATATACTTGGTTTTAAGAATATCACGGCAAAAGAGGTTAGAGAAAGAAATATGTAAAAACAATAGCTCCTCCGCTTTTCACCTAAGCGGAGAACACACAGGCGCACACACACGCCCTCTCTCAACTACTAACCCTTTCACACTAGGAGCAGAACTCCATGCTAAGTACGCGCCCAAACGAGGCGTTGGGTTTTTAAAAAATGAGCAGACTACTGTTGTCTCTTTTCCCTCTCCCTTATCCAGGTCTGTCGGCGCCTTTCCTCCGCGCTCTGTCCTCTGCCTCAAAGCACCAGCCCCACGCCCCAACCACAGGCGGCGCCCGCACCAGCTGAGACCCCGCGAGAGGTGGGCCCAAACCGCAGAAGAAGAAGAGGCGGAAACAGACACACGCTCAGGAAACCACAGAAGAAGAAACGGGGGAAACAAATATGTGAGACACCGACAACTGCTTTGGAGCACAGAGAGAAACTGCTCCAAATCCCGTGACTGTTCTCCACGGAGGGGGCAGCGTGATATACCAAACGCACCCGCGGAAACCCGCTTGAAAGTTGTTCCCGCACCGCAAACAGAAGAAGCCATTGTGACCGGCACGTTTGGGTTATTCACCAACCCTCATGGCCCACATGCTAACGCTTTGGGCTACCTGGGCCTCCTGCGGACTTTGAAAAACTTCCACAGCCCGGCGGAAAGACTGTGTGCTCGACATGGGTCGAAGGACTGTTACCGGAGGAGGCGTTAAAGGCAGAGGAACGCTCAAGCTAACACGGGGCCAGAGGACGGCAGAGGCGGGCGTGGAGGAAACACGAGCGACTGACCAAACCCGGGTTCACATTCGTCACCAAAGCGACCGCTCATGTAAGTTGAACAACAACAAACTGCAATTGGCACTCTTTAGAGATAATTCATGCTGAATTCCCGTAATATACGCTAACAATCTGTGGTGTAACAGTTAAAATTCTGGATGATTACAACAAATCCTGTGTTTAAAAACAAAACATAAGGTGACAGATTTTGGTCCGTTCTCAAGTGAGTGGTCGCTTCACAAAACTCATGGCTTCAGTTAGGGCTGGGCAATTAATCGATTTTAATCATTAATTCGAGTTTTACATTTAGGGCGATTTCTTTTCTTTTAAAATTCGATTTTTTATTTTCTCCATCGCAGAACTACAGCGCTAACGCGCTAACCGCGGGTCTATGGTGTTGAGCAGTCATTTTGAAGCTAACCTAATGCTAACAGGCTCCCTCTGGCCTGATGCTCGCTCTCACAGTTGGTGCTGTTGCAATAACACTTCAAACGGTCAAGAATCAGACTTTATTTAAATCGCCAGAACACACACTCGTGTCCCACTGAGCCGCTGCACTTTGGGGAAAGACACGTCTCTCATTGCTCTGATACAAACAACGTGTTCCCCGCTAGCTGTTAGCTACAGTAGCTGCTACAGTAGCTGTTAGCTACAGTAGCTGCTACAGTAGCTGTTAGCTACAGCATCAGAATGTAAACAGGAAGCTCGAACAATGCGGGAGCCACTGAAGTTAGTATTAGCGCCACCAGCTGGACCGAGCGTTGTACTACAGCACAGTTACTCAGGCACAGTTGGAAGAACAAGCATGAAAACCCGAGGAGGCTTTTGGAACAGACTGTCTGTTACAACATTTCTATTTTGAGTCATCAGTTTTTAAAAATGTGATATTTCATGTAAATAATGCATGTGTTTAATAGGATTGATATATTTGCGATGGGCCTTGTTTGTGTGATTTAAGTTATTTGAAAGGTGCATAGTGTCATTGTAAGTGAAGTTATTATAAAACCGTTAAGCTACATTTTCGTAACAAGAGCTCATTAGAGATATAGGGGACACCATTTGTGATAAGCCCGACTACGGACCACGTGGTAAACACTAAAGTTGGAAATGGATTTCTTTTTTTTAGGAAAACTCTTTTAAAGCTCTGCAGGCTCTGAAAGTTGCAACAATAAGAAATAGCTCATGAGACAATTGGAATTGGACATGGAAAAATATAACAAAGTTAAAAGTACAGGCCTTCTGTGTGTGTTACATGTTTGTGTGTTATATGTTTTGTGTATGTTATATGTTTGTGTGTCATGTCAAAGTACACTACGCTGACCTTAACAAACTCTGGACCAATACTAACGTGGGGAATCAGGCCTGTGATGTGACTGTGATGTGACTGTGATGTGAGTGTGGAGTGAAATGAGGAATGCTGAACGGAATCATGGAATAACAAATGTGTCTGTAATGTTTTAATGTGATCATGGAATAATTCTTTTTTGTCAACAGCATACGGTGTAAGTACTAGAGATTCAAAGATAACGACCTTTATTGAACAGGTGTAAAAGTGAGAGTACTCTGGGATGAGTACTCTGAGAAAAGTACTCTGCGGAAAGTACTCGGAGATGAAATACCTCGCTGAAGATATTGGGAGTTCCTCCCTCTGCTGTTTGCCCTGACAGTGATTCGGTCCAACCGCAGTGAGCGGTCATTGGGCGGAGGACAACTTTGGTCTGTAAACTCACATTTAGGGGAGTATAAAATTAGAAACATACATTTTGTTGTTCTGTATTTGGCTACAGCCTCCGCCCTGATGCCACACACCGTCTGTCAATGCAGTTATGTTTTGCCCAATTGGAAAAAAGATTGACAAGCGAAAGTGGGCATTTTTTTGTGTTTTTTGTGTTCTGATATTTCTTTTTCAGATGAGAGATAAACTACCCCTGCTCCAGGGATGACAGTAGTGTGGATCAGGAGGAAATGAGCCTCCACTTTGGCACAAAAGCCCACAATATGAATTGAGGACGATCCGGGAGAAAAGCAACTGGAGATGAACGGAACAGCAAATCTACACACACACACTAGGTCTCCCTGACCCAACGGCCATTCACTCAGACCGTGGATGAGCGATGTGGGTGCATGGTGTCGGTACTTTTGCAGTCTCACGGAGGGCCACTGAGACCCACTGCTTACTTCTCAGCAAAACTCGGTCCCGTGGCAGCAGGGTTGCCTCGCTGCCTGCGGGCTGTGGCTGCCGCTGAGAAAGCGGCCCTAGCATCACGTGACCTTGTGGGATACACTGAACTAACTTTGCTTGTGCCCCATGCTGTTTCCCTGATCCTGTTAGAGCAGAGGGCCTCTCGCCTTTCTGCGGCTCGTTGGCTGGGGTACAACACGGTGCTCTTTGAACTACGGTGAAGGGATGCACAGCTGAACCCCCCCTCGCTGCTGCCCACGCCAGAGGAAGGGGAGGCACACTGCTGTATCGCCACAATAGAACAGATATGCACTCCCAGGCCAGACCTGAAAGAGGTGCCTCTGACTAATCCTGACTTGATTTTTTTTATACAGACGGAGCGGCGTCACGTGACAACACTGGGAAGAACCGAGTCGGCTATGCTGTGTGTTCTGATTTTGATACTATAGACTCTGGTAGTTTGCCCCACTACCACTCAGCACAAACCGCTGAGCTGGTCGCGCCCACCGGGGCTTGTGAGCTGGCAGCGGGCAAAACTGTTAACATATTCTGTGATACGCGCTATGGTTTCTCTGTGGTGCACGACTGGGAAGCACTGTGGAAACACCGCAATTTTATGAAATCTGATGGTAAACCAATTCTTAATTCCACACAGGTTGAACGTCTGCTGAAAGCTGTAATGTTGCCCTTAGAGATCGCTGTATGCAAATGCCAGGCCCACACTAATGCCACTGATTCCATCTCTGCAGGGAATCGGCGCGCGGACAAGGCAGCGAAGGCAGCGGCATACGCACCTCTACACACACACACACACACTACCTCACTCAAGACGTTGATATTTTCTACTCCAGCAGAGACGCTGCTGTGGGAGGGGAATGGGGCTCAACGACGGCATGGTGTGTGTGGCTGGGACCAGACAGCAAACCGTGCCTACCACGGCATTTCTTCAGACAGTTTGCAATTTTAGCACATGGTCGAGACCATGCCTCAAAAGGAGGGATGATGTGTGATTTAATCACACAAAATTGGTATACAAAGGGGTTTACGGCATTTGCACAGAGATTCAGCCAAACATGCGCTATATGCCCCGCGCACAACCCAGGTAAGTCCCAAAAGTATCCAACAGGCTGCTCATCCTCCGCCCCTGCGCCCATTTCAACATGTCCAAAGGGACTTTGTTGAACTCACACCATGCCAAGGTAAGTAATACTGTCTGGGTCTGGCGGATCTCTGGTCCAAATGGACTGAAGTATTTGCAGGCATACACGCCACGAGCAACGCGGTGGTGAAAGCTCTGCTCACAGAAATCGTGCCACGATGGGGTGTCCCGAGGGAAAATCTCTAGGGACAATGGCAGTCACTTTGTAGCAAAAGTCATTGAGGAAGTGGGTGAATTTCTGGGCATTGATATACGTAAACACTGCAGTTACGCCCCCTGGTCCGGAGGCACATGCGAGCGAGAGAATGGCACTCAAAGCTCTGCCGCTAGCCCCACGTTGGGCGCGGGACCCCCGAACAGAGATCTGCCAAGCACCTCTTTGTGTGATGACGACATGCTGTCCTATTGTAGGAAATTAATGCACTTTTGTCCTCTATTTCTGCCCAGGTCAGGAGCGCCCTGCCACAGGCTGCGCAGGCGACTGGGCCCTGGTGAAGGAAACGAGACGAAAGCACTGGCGGTCCAAGCGCTGGCTCGGCCCATTCCTCGCCCTCCTGGTGACGGACACTGCCGTTAAGGTCGCGGAGAGGACAACTTGGATCCACGCCAACCACTGTCGTGCGGGGCTGCCACTGAGGGCCATAGACGAGGACACCGAGGGCGCGGACGGACCAGGCCCATCCGCGGCTCCCTACGCTGAAGAAGTTGGCCGGCGTGCGGCCACCGTCGGTGAAGCAGGCCAACAACAACACCCAGAGAATCCCAGCGCTCCCGAGGCGACCCCCCTTGCCCAACTCCCCAGCCCCCGGATCCCAAGGCTTGGGAGCCATGAAGGCCCTGAGCGCTCTGCCCAGCTGCAGCAAGTATGCAGAGCTGCTGCCCATTCCAAAGATATCTCCAGAGCTTGCTCCCTCTGGCCATAATGCAGATTTGAGCTCTGCTGGAGTGCCCCCTGGTGTCTCGTCTCCCGTGTGTCCGGAGGAGGTGGAGATGAGGGCTGCTCTACAGTTCCTGATGAGGCACATGGTGAAGCGTGCTGTCATGAGGTCTCCCACCAAACGAGCTTTGGGCCTGGCCGATCTGGAGCGTGCTCAAGCCATGGTCTTCACACCCCAAACCCCGAGCACTCTGCCCAACCGAGTGCTGAGGCCAAGGCTTCAACGCAATTAGAGTCTTACCGCTCCAAGACCAAACATCGCCATGACCACTAACGCTCCACACACGCTCAGAGGGAGCGGTGCCACTGACTGCGAGACGGCACTGCTCGTGAGTATTCCCGCGGAAAAGACTACCGAACGTAGCCCGGCTAAGACCGGAATGGGCCCTTGGACTGTTATGCTGGCCACACTGACACTACTTTCCGTGCTGACCGTGTTTATTATGTTAATATTGTCTTCTCTTATCGCTGTCCGGATCCATTGTGTTATTATAATGTGCTCTTTCTTTTATTGACAAGCATGCTTCTTTTCTTGTCCACTTTGGACAGCAATAATTTAAGTGTTTCAAGCTTGAAGGTGGTGTGATTACGATGCCTCTGGTATTTAACTGATTAATGCAAAAATGGTTTTGAATTATCAAAAGAGGGGAGTGTGGTGACAGTTTTTGGAGTAATTACATAAAACCAGCCGCAGCAAATACACGGACGTCAAAGGCCTTTTATCAATGCAGAGACGCCCTTCTGACGCCATGCTGAGCTTTGTGAGGGCCCCCTGCTGTCTGTCACACCCTTGTGTCTTTCGTATCTTGAATCTGTATGCCTGCTTATATCCATATGTCCCTGCTGCCAGGAAGGAGCCGGGCCCCCCCGACACCTACAGACAATGGCTATCACTCTTGCCCCCTTTCACCTCTTGCATATGTATCGGTCTGTATGTGTGCACTCTCTACATCCTGCACCGGTGGCCCCCCTCCCATCTGTTGTGGGCGGGACTGGCTTTCGTGTGTGTCTTGTATACAGGAAGCTCGGGGCTCTGGCCCCCAGAGCTGGGACATGCTGCCTTGGAGTGGATGTGCTGGCTCTCCGCACGTGCGCTAACAATAAACTTACGCTTTTGATCAGACAAAGGACCTTTGAGTTTCCTCCTTCATGGGGTATATAATTCTATAACAAAACACAAATATTATTTATTTGATTAAATGACTGGGGTATTCGATGGAATACTTGACTTCTAAAATATTCAATAGCTGCAGCTCTAGCTACAGAAAATCAAAACGAATTATAACCCTAAAATGGAAGGATTCGGAGAATTGTGACACCCCTACTGCTCCGGGATTGTCCAATCATGTCTTGTAATTTTAGTATCCATACTTTTTCACCTCAGTGCTCTGTCTTCTCCTTCATTGTGGATCAAAGTGTGTCTGTGGCTCTGAAGGGTCCTGATGTTGTGTTACTGTGGAACTGACACTGACCTGAGAACAGCCTGGAGCCCCGCACATGTAAGGCCTGCCCTGGAGCTCGTTCATGTCCTGCAGCCTGGAACACATACACACGCACACACACACACACACACACACACACACACACACACGCACAAACACACACACACACACACCTATGAATAAATTTTGACTTAAATCATCAAAATATGTTTTTTTGTGTATACTTGAGCTATAGGGTAGCATGCTTTTCCCCATTGCAGGGCAGTATGTCAGATTGACTAAACTCTTGCGGCTGAAACGTCGTGACGTCCATGCCTCTATCAACGCATGTCCATGCATCAGCAGTGGGTACACACCCTGACAGTTAGCGTTAGAGTATAAAGCTGTTACTGCTGCCATTATTTTGGTCAGTAACATTAATCTAAGAGTTACTTTGGTCTCTGCTCCAGTACTTTTGGTGCTCCGTGGATTGTGACTTTAATCGCAGCTGACACAGACAGCGCTGTCGCATTCACAGAGCTGTCAGGTTTTTAGTGTTTTGGGATGAAAATAAACTTTTAATTGGTTAGAAAACTGATACAGACCATTTTGGGTTTGGAGTTATTGTGACTGGCCTGAGTCCTGGATCTAGAGCCCGTAGGAGGGTCTGAGGACAGTGATGATCCAGGACACTTAACATTTATCAGCATTTATGGACATCGGTCATGTGCCCCTTATGGACCAACGGCTCTATGTGTTTTTAATCATTGCATTTCCTGAGTTTGAACTGTTTGATTCTCTGATCAGTGTTGGTGAATCAATGGTTTTGTAAAGTCCTCTGAGATAACTACTGTTGTGATTTAGGGCTTTGCACAAAAAAATTTTTGAATTGAATTGAATCTAGACCAGACGAGGATGACCAGCTATATTATATTCTGCTAATCATGTGTACAGTGCATGGATACATTATTTTATCTGGATAGGGTATTAAAGCTGAAAAAGTTTAAGTTCGGTATCAGATCCCAAGTTTAAACCAGTCTCCACATGGACCAGGAGCCACCTGCGGTACTGCAGCTTAAATTCACAGAGGCTCTAATAAGATTTTCCCCTTAGACCTCAATGTTACAGTTTTTTCCTATTGCTCAAACACTATAGACACATGCTTGGACAAAAGTAACAAAACCTGAAGCTTTTGTACAATATCTTAAACACAGTCTAACCATTCCTTAACAAAAGTACAGCTTTGCACTTTATTTCTGCAACACACTTTCTCCTGTTCACTACACTCATACATAAGACAAGAAATTAAATCTTGTGTTATCATTGGGAAAACAACTTATTCAAAACACCAAACATAGTGTGATTGAAAACACTTAGACACACACCATAAAACACTTAGATAACGCAACACGTCAGCCAGACATAAACAGGGCTCAGTTTAACCATTTTCAGAACTTTGCCAGCATGAAAGAAGAACAAGAGGTAGAGGAAGACGAGTAGAGAGAATGAGGGAAGCAGAGTCCACACCTCCATCATGAGGACCTTCAGATGGAAACATGTCTTCAACTCTCTACATCAGACTGTATCTACAGTATTTACAGTATTGTACCGTACTGTTTTGCAAGTTGGCTACTGCTCCTTTTTAGTTTTTTAAATGGTAGTTTTGTGAAACATACAATACAATTTGTGGTTGCATATTCACACAGAATCACTAGAAGACCTTCTCAAGGTGGTCGGCAACACCTGTTCACCCAACAGTAGGAACTCGCCATTGTGGAAATAGTCTGAGCAGGGACCATGATCCATAATCCCACCCACGCACGACTGCCTAGTTTTACATTAGAGATTTTTGTGTTTCTGCAGTAACTGTACTGTAAAGTTTATGACTGTGCTCATATGATGCAAGTGTGAATCCTTTTGTCATCAGAGTTTCATTTTGACAAATGAATGTTTCGTTTTGATAGTAGATATTAATGTTGACCCAGATGTGTTTGGTTTATGTCCCAGTGTTGTCTCAGGTTATTTTGTGTGTCGTGTTTTGGGACAATGAGTGAAATTTAACAAAATGTGTTCAAGCAATGGAAAAGGAATCTGTAAGTATAACTCAATTAAATTCAATTAAAGTAAATTCAATTTATTTTTGTATCGGCCATAATCACAACCTTATTTATCTCGAAGGATTTAACAAATCTGTCAATTCGCCAACAAGGAACAGCTTCAGTTTCTAACACAACTTTCAGGGAGAGATAATGAGTAACTACAACTAATTACGAAGTACCAGATCCCTAAAAATGTTCCCATAATGTTTTGGAAACCTCCTAACCGGATGTTTTTCTGTCCAAGCGCCTCTTAAGATCTACTTCTATGTTATGACTCCTTTAAACTAATAATTATTACACATCATTTACTGCAATTTCAAAGTATTTTGTCAGAAGAGGTCCCAAGATCGACCCCTGTGGCACTCCACAAAACCAACTCATCACAACAAACCCGAACTTAGGTCCCACACGTTTTTAGGAACCACACAATTCCATTACAATGTCATCAGAATGGTGCAGCGGTAAATCATACCGTGGAAACGCCTTCACCCTCACAGCGCACGCAGAGACGGACTGCACCGTTCCATCTGCAGCTGCGTCTCTCTGGTACCCACTTATCTATCAGCTAATCACATGTTTGTGCATTCCTCCCCTGTTCATCACGCTCCAAACAACAGCCAGTTTATTAGGACAAGTGCTTTCATATCCCCCACTATTACTCTATCGTGATCATTATAAATACAGCTCTTTTCATACGTTTATCTGGTGTCCGTCTATCAGCGGACGCCTGGTTATTAACAGAGGCCTGATGACAGGACCCCAGCTCTGCCTCTCCATCCGCTCATCAATAAGACACAGACCAAGCTGCAATTACAATCTGTTTGTGCCACCGTAAACTCGACACTTTCCAGTGTCTGCGAACGAGGACTCAGACATTCCACCGAGAGAATCGTGGGAGAAACTGTCAATGTATCTACATGTTTTACTTGACAAAAGGTGGAGCTCTGAAACTTTATAAAAGACAGTGTTGGGGAGTAACAGAGTACTTGTCAGAATACTATTTTGGAGAAACTGGATCAAAGTTGATTTAGAAAAATTTGTATTTGATCAAGCAATTCAGGAGCAAATATTAATATTATATCATGAAACTTTTGATGTGATTTTTACTCGGGCCAAGACTTGATACAAAAAATATTCTAATTAATTAGAGGCTTTATAATTAATCAATCAAAATCAATCTTTCATAAATATTTGACCTGAGAACAGTGATTTATTTATTTATTTATCATTATAAGTGTACCATTCAGGAAGGGTTAAATCCAGACGCTAAAGCAACAACTTGTTCAACTTTTGTCCAACAAACCAGTGCAACTTTTGCCATTAAGTGCAGAAACAGTAAAATCAGTAAAGTTCTTTGATATGTGTTATTGACGCTTCCATAAGTTTGTTTTTATAAAAAATTCCCATTGACGAGGCTGACACTGTGGTTTGTTGTTGTCTGAAGTCATTAACAGAAAAGCTAAATTGATCCTCCAAAATTGAACGCCTTTTTTGAGTTTTTTTCATTCATCTTGATTAACATGTCCCGGGGTTAATCAAGTTTTACATGTTTGACCTCTGCGACTGGAGCCTTTGCTTTCCATCACTAACAACTGTAGAAGAATTTTTACAAAACAATGTATCTGGAGAAGTGTTGACACAGCTGTGATCGACACTGTCCATGAACCACGATGAACACTGAGTATGGTGTGAATGTTGTTATGTTGGTACTTAGTTTGATTTTGACATCAGTTCTCTGTAGTTCCATTTTAGGCTTACTTACTGTCCTGTTTCACCTTTGTCTCTCTTTGTCTATATGTACCTGTGCTCCTCTCGCCCTGTTGCTAGTCCAATGTTCGCCCATGTCTGTCCTGTTCCTGGTTCTTTTGGATTTTTGAGTTTTGTTTTTTCACTGGACTCTTACCATCATTAAATAATTAACTTTTTCCATCTTAACCTATGAAACCACTGGGTCAAATTAGCAAAAAAGATTAACTTTTTTCCAAATAAAAAGTTTCATAATGCACCTTTTAAGAAACAAAATAATAATAAAAACTTTCTTTTTAGTGCTACATGTTTAATATGTTTCACAACTAAAAACACACAAACAAAGTTGTTGTATACTATCATATTATACAAGAGAGTAAAAAGTAATCTAACTATTCAGAATACTACTGGGATTGGCACGTGTAACAGAATATTTTACAGAATACACAGGTACTATTTTCAAAGTATTCTCCGCGACACTGGAGACAGGGGGCACTAAAGCCGAGTCTGAGGTGTATGTGCGTGTGTGTGTGTGTGTGTGTGTGTGTGTGTGTGCATGCTTGTGTGTGTTGGTGTATGTGTGTGTGGGAGTGTGTGTGTGTGTGCATGCGTGTGTGTGTATGTGCGTGTGTGTGTGTACAATAGGGCTGTAATAAACATTACTGGATTACTTACGTAGATCCCAAGGTCAGTGAATATGATATTTTTTTAAATAGAAGTCTCTGAGGCACAAAACATCATCTCCGCAAGTTGAATCAATCTGAGAACAGAGAGCTTTTCCTTCACAGGATAACAAAGCACTTCACAGTCCCCATCACACAAGGCACAAATCATCACATAAAACATAAACACCAAAATCACCATCAGTTTAAGTCTATGTAAGTAAAAAAAAATGAAGAAAAAAAAGGATTAATTGATTACTAAATAAGTATTGTTCTGTATTTTGTGTTACTGATCTCTTGCATTGCTTTTGTACTGTTTTTATTTTGTCTTACTTTTTTCATTTGAAGTATAGTTATAAATTCGGGATCAAACTCATTTTGTTTGAGGGATGAATAAAAAATGTCAAAGCTGGTCGAGGTGTGTTATTATTTTTTGTTCTGTAAAAGAGGTGTTTTACAGGTTTTGAATAAATGTGTTTGCAGTTGGATGTGTGTAAATGTAGCCGTGTAAAGCTGCAGAGTTGACATGAGGTGAGGACTGCGGGCCATGGGACAGAGGAGCCAAACGGGACAGGTCTGAACCTGCTGCTCCACCTCCTCCACCTCCT